GCTCAGATGAACAGTTGTTGAGATATTTGCATGTGAAACAACAGGAAGTGATGTCAAAGGGGAATGTCTGCATGTGAATATTTCAAAAATAAATAAATGTTACCAATTATTTTAATATTTGAGATGAATTACAACATTTTTAAGACCTCAGATGATTGATTTAAGACTTTTTAAGTCTAATTAAGGCCTTATTTTGGACCAATGAATTCAATGACTTTTAAGACTTTTTAAGGATCTACAGGAACGCTGTAAAGACGAATGTTTTTTCCCATGTGTGAACCAGGCAAAATGTCCTCACAAGGGCGGTAAAAATACATCCACCAATAAAAACTAGACATGCACACACACACACACGTCAGCAAAAACACACACTTTTACACACACATCCCTGCCCATACAGAAATGCCACCGACTCAGTAAATCTTCTAGAAATTAAAAAATAAATGACGCTGCAGACGTTTGTGTGTTTTTGTGTGTCAGCTGGTGTGTGTTGTGGTTAATCCCTGGTAGCAGCCTCAGCCTGTCTCTGGTGGTTGATGAGAGGCTGGAGGGGGTTAGAGGAGAAACTCCAGGCCTTACGATGTGTTTACTGACAGTTAGAGCCCAGCTTATTACTGGCCTTCGAAACACGACGCTGCGAGTCGGAGGGAACTCCGGGGAGGCCCGACCGCCAGCGGCTCCCGCCAGCCTCCAAATGTTTGAGTTGGATTCAAGTAAACGCTGGGAACAGGATCTGCTTTCTCGTGCACAGAAGAGTAGATTAGACGGGTTTCTCTTCGGTTTATCTGCCACTGTCCATGGGCCTGCTTTTTGTCTGCGAAGTCTCTCAGAAAGCTCAGGTTTAATTAGGTAAAAAAAACCAGTTATCCCTGTCAGTGTGACGGTGTGGAAGAGTGCAGGGAGAAGACAGGAGACAGGGGAGGATCAGGGACCAGGCAGGTCCAAGGAGATCAGAGTGTTTTTTAATTAACTACATTTTTTGTCTTTTTTAAATAAAGACATTAAAGTCTGAGAATATTCTGCAACCTGGATTAAAATTTTGATTAAAAGTGATCGACAGAGCAGCAGAAAACACAGGAACTCCTTTACTTCTCTACACTGTAAAAACTGTCCATCTAACCAAGTTTTAAAATCTTATATCAGCCAAAAAGTCTTTTTGATCTTGTTTTSAGACTGATTTACTAAACAAGAACTGATTGTGTAAGAATAATCATCTTGTTTTCAGAATGTGTAAGATTATTTGTCTTGTTAGTCTGAAAATTTGACTCTAAGTCAAACATTTCTGCCAGTGGAGTAAGAACATTTTACTTGGTAAGATTCTTGAAATACTTGATTTGACTCTTTTTTTTTTCTTATTTCAAGAATCTTACCAAGTAAAATGTTCTTACTCCACTGGCAGAAATGTTTGACTTAATTAGAGTCAAATTTTCAGACTAACAAGACAAATAATCTTACACATTCTGAAAACAAGATGATTATTCTTACACAATCAGTTCTTGTTTAGTAAATCAGTCTGAAAACAAGATCAAAAAGACTTTTTGGCTGATATAAGGTTTTAAGACTTGGTTAGGTGGACAGTTTTTGCAGTGAACCTGCACTCATTTTTGAACAAATTTGTCTCGATTATTTTTAAAATTAACTGAAAAGAGGAAGGAGGAACTAAAATGATCAACCCCACATTTGCCTTTTTGAGAAAAGAAATGTAAACATGACAAAACATAAAGCTGGAGTATTTTAACGCAGAACGATGTAAGGTTCTTGTGAATCCAGAGCCTTGGTCTCAGAGGACAACATTCAAAGAGGCAGCTATTTTTAAAAGAATGAAAAGAGGAGAAGAAGAGGAGGAAAGCTGTTTGAAAGACGGGAGTGAGAAGCGAAGGATTAGGAGGATAACAAAAAAGGCTAACAGAGTGTGTGTAAACAAGAGAAAGGGGGTTAGGGAGGAATATGAGGAGGAGGGGGCGAGATTGAACAGTGACACCGCTGCAACACAATGAGGTCAGGATGAAGAAGTGCTCCTAATTGAATCACACAGAGGAGAAGACAGCAGAGAGCAGCCAGACTCACGTGTGATCCTTTTTATTTTTCCTCTCAGATCTTCAAACGTGAGCGAAACAGAGGAGGAGGTGTGAGGAACCAGAGGCCAGTGATGAATAAACTGTTACAAGCTGAGAGCGACGAGCAGAAACTGAAGGTGTCCACAGGGGCGCACTTCAATCGTCAGGCCGGGGCCCAACAGTACCAGAGGGCCCCCCGTTCATCAAACACCTCATAAACTCACATTACGACGCATTGTTTTCATTTCAGCTGTTGAATAAGTGTTAAAGGGGACCTATTATGCAAAATTCACTTTTTAAAGGTTTTTTTACTCAACTTTGGGTATGTACTTCTTAAAAAAACAGTCCTGGGACCAAAACAATGCACCCAGGGGCATATTTACTGTAAGTAAATGTGTTTTAATGTATATTAATGACAAGTTTTATACTTCCTACATTTTGTGATGTCACAAGCCGTACGACAACCCACCAGAACCTGCGTTCAGCCCCTTACCTAGCAACCCCCGGGTGAGACTCCACCTCCTCAGTATAAAAAGTCGTCACAGTGTTGTTGTGTAATGTGTAGCTCATCTCACAACAAGCCTCCAATAGGGGCAAAGGGTAGAGTGTTGGACCAGAGAGAGACCAGGGTTTGACACGGACACTATTTAATTATTTATTATCGTTCGTTATGAACACGTTTTCTCATGTACCTCTATTGTTTAGCTTTCGCCTATTTGTTTGAGTTTCTGAGGTATTTTGACCGCTGCTGCTCCCTGCTCTGGTAACAGCATGCAGAGTGAGCGCAGAGCTCCGACACAGGAGGAGGGGGAGGGGAGAAAATAAACTGTGACCACGACTCTGCCTCTGGGTCTGACTCAGGGTCTCATTTATACGGTTGTACAACGGAGCTT